CCCTACTGTATTGACAACCAGTCTGTTGTATCGACTACCACATCTACGGTATCGACAACCACCACCCTCGGTATCGACAACCACCCTACCGTTTCAACAACCACCTTACTGTATCGAAAACCACCCTACTGTGTCAACAACCACCCTACGGTATCGACAACCAGTCTGTTGTATCAACAACCACCCTACTGTATTGACAACCAGTCTGTTGTATCGACTAACCACACTACGGTATCGACAACCACCCTTCGTATCGACATCGACAACCACCCTACAGTTTCGACAACCACCCTTTACTGTATCGACAACCAGTTGTTGACAACCCACCCTACTGTATTGAAAACCACCCTGTATTGACAACCAGTCTGTTGTATCAACAACCACCCTACTGTTTCGACAACCAGTCTGTTGTATCGACAACCACCCTACTGTATCGACAACCACCCTACAGGTATCGACCACCCTGTTGTATCGACAACCACCTACTATTGTATCGACAACCACCCTATTGTATCGACAACCAGTCTCTTGTATCGACAACCACCTCCTGTATCGACAACCACCCTATTGTATCGAAAACCACCCTACTGTATCGACAACCACCCTTCTGTATCGACAAACCTTTTATTTGTATCGACAACCTGTCTGTTGTATCGACTACCACACTACATTATCGACAACCAGACTGTTGTATCGAGAACCACCCTACTGTATCGACAACCTGTCTGTTGTATCGACAACCATCCTACGGTACCCGACAACCACCCTACAGTATCGACAATCTCTTAGTTGTATCAACAACCACGCTACCGTATCGACAACCACCCTACGGAAACGACAACCACCTATCGACAACCACCCTACTGTATTGACAACCACCCTTGTGTATTGACAACCACCCTATTGTATCGACAACCACCCTACGATATCAACAACCACCCTACCGTTTCAACAACCACCATACTGTATCGACGACCGACAACCACCCTACTGTATCGACAATCACACTACTGTATCGACAACAACCCTACTATACCGACAACCACCCTATGGTATCAACAACCACCGTATTGTATCGGCAACCACCCTAATTGTATCGACAACCACCATACGGTATCGACAACCACCCTACGGTATCGACAACCAGTCTGTTGTATCGACTACCACCCTCCGGTATCGACAACCACCCATTGGTATCGACAACCAGTCTGTTGTATCGAGAACCACCCTACGGTATCGACAACCAGTCTGTTGTATCAATAACCACCCTACTGTATTGACAACCAGTCTGTTGTATCGACTACCACCCTACTGTATCTACAACCATCCTATTGTATCGACAAACACTCTACTGTATCGACAACCACGCTATTGTATTGACAAACACCTTAAAAGTATCGACAACCACACTTCAGTATAGACAACCTTTTAGTTGTATCGACAACCATCCTATCTTAACGACAACCACCCTACCGTATCGACAACCACCCTACCGCTTCAACAACCACCTTACTGTATCGACAACCACCCTACTGTGTCGACAATCACCCTACTGTATCGACAACCCTACGGTATCGACAACCACCCTATTGTATCGACAACCACCCTAAAAGTATCGACAACCACACTACGGTATAGACAACAACCCAACGGTATTGACAACCACCCTACTTTATCGACAACCACCCTACTGTATCGACAACCACCCTACTGCATCGACAACCACCCTACGGTATCAAGAACCACCCTACAGTATCGACAACCACCCTACTGTATCGACAACCAGTCTGTTGTAACCACAACCACCCTCCTGTATCGACAACCACCCTATTGTATCGACAACCACCCTACGGTATCGACAACCACCCTACTGTATCGACAACCAGTCTGTTGTATCGACAACCACCCTACGGTATCGACAACCACCATACTGTATCGACAACCAGTAGGTTGTATCGACAACCACCCTACTGTATCGACAACCAGTCTGTTGTATCGACAACCACCCTATTGTATCGACAACCACCCTACGGTATCGACAACCACCCTACTGTATCGACAACCACCCTACGGTATCGATAACCACCCTACGGTATCGACAACCAGTCTGTTGTATCAACAACCACCCTACTGTATTGACAACCAGTCTGTTGTATCGACTACCACACTACGGTATCGACAACCACCCTTCGGTATCGACAACCACCCTACCGTTTCAACAACCACCTTACTGTATTGAAAACCACCCTACTGTGTCAACAACCACCCTACGGTATCGACAACCAGTCTGTTGTATCAACAACCACCCTACTGTATTGACAACCAGTCTGTTGTATCAACAACCACCCTACTGTTTCGACAAACAGTCTGTTGTATCGACAACCACCCTACTGTATCGAGAACCACCCTACAGTATCGACAACCACCCTACGGTATTGACAACCACCCTACGGTGTCGACAACCAGTCTCTTGTATCGACAACCACTCTCCTGTATCGAAAACCACCCTACTGTATCAAGAACCACCCTACTGTATCGACAACCTGTCTGTTGTATCGACTACCACACTACCGTATCGACAACCACCCTACAGTATCGACAACCTCTTAGTTGTATCAACAACCACCCTATTCTAAGGACAACCACCCTACCGTATCAACAACCACCCTACGGAAACGACAACCACCTATCGACAACCACCCTACTGTATTGACAACCACCCTTGTGTATTGACAACCACCCTATTGTATCGACAACCACCCTACGGTATCAACAACCACCCTACCGTTTCAACAACCACCATACTGTATCGACAACCACCCTACTGTGTAGACAATCACCCTAGTGTATCAACAACCCTACGGTATCGACAACCACCCTATTGTATCGACAACCACCCTACTGTATCTACAACCATCCTATTGTATCGACAAACACTCTACTGTATCGACAACCACGCTATTGTATTGACAAACACCCTAAAAGTATCGACAACCACACTTCAGTACAGACAACCTTTTGGTTGTATCGACAACCATCCTATCTTAACGACAACCACCCTACCGTATCGACAACCACCCTACCGCTTCAACAACCACCTTACTGTATCGACAACCACCCTACTGTGTCTACAATCACCCTACTGTATCGACAACCCTACGGTATCGACAACCACCCTAAAAGTATCGACAACCACACTACGGTATAGACAACAACCCAACGGTATCGACAACCACCCTACTTTATCGACAACCACCCTACTGTCTCGACAACCACCCTATTGTATCGACAACCACCCTAAAAGTATCGACAACCACACTACGGTATAGACAACAACCCTACGGTATCGACAACCACCCTACTGTATTGACAACCAGTCTGTTGTATCGACAACCACCCTACTGTATCGACAACCTACTGTATCGACAACCACTCTACTGTATCGATAACCACCCTATTGTATCGACAACCACTCTCCTGTATCGTCAACCACCCTACTGTATCGGGAAGCACCCTACTGTATCGACAACCACCCTACTGTATCGACAACCACCCTACGGTATCGACAACCACCCTACTTTATAGACAACCTACTGTATCGACAACCACTCTACTGTATCGACAACCACCCTACTGTATCGACAACCACCCTACTGTATCGACAACCAGTCTGTTGTATCGACAACCAGTCTGTTGTATCGACAACCACCCTACTGTATCGACAACCAGTCTGTTGTATCGACAACCACCCTATTGTATCGACAACCACCCTACGGTATCGACAACCACCCTTCTGTATCGACAACCACCCTACGGTATCGATAACCACCCTCCTGTATCGACAACCACCCTATTGTATCGACAACCACCCTACGGTATCGACACAACCACCCTACTGTATCGTCTGTTGTATCGATGACAACCACCCTACGGTATCGACAACCAGTCTGTTGTATCGACAACCACCCTATTGTATCGACAACCACCCTACGGTATCGACAACCACCCTACTGTATCGACAACCACCCTACGGTATCGATAACCACCCTACTGTATCGACAACCAGTCTGTTGTATCGACAACCACCCTACTGTATCGACAACCAGTCTGTTGTATCGACAACCACCCTACTGTATCGACAACCACCCTACGGTATCGACAACCACCCTACTGTATCGACAACCACCCTACGGTATCGATAACCACCCTACTGTATCGACAACCAGTCTGTTGTAATGACAACCACCCTATTGTATCGACAACCACCCTACGGTATCGACAACCACCCTACGGTATCGACAACCACCGTACTTTATCGACAACCACCCTACGGTATCGACATCCAGCTTTTACGTGTGGGAAGCGTTATGATTGATTCTCTTTACTGGATACATGTGTATCGATAGTGTACCCGGCCGCCGATAGTAATGAGGGATATTTCAACTTGGCATTGATGCACAGACATTGACATTGGATAATTACGATTACCACTTTGTGAACAACCTGTATGTTATTCTGTCTAGACAAAACAACCCAGGTTTCGATAATTTAGTCACAAATAACATAAGGGCACATGGACAACGCAGCTGCCAGAGTTTACATAGGAAATCTAGGACAAGGTGTTATTCAGGTCTTGTTGTGCTCACAATGGAAGGCCGTCAATAAAACCGTTAGTTTGTTGCATAACAAGAACATAAGCTACAAAATAATAGCCTAGAGAAGTGTAGGTCGAGTTGCCATAGTGAATTGATCCGTTACCAACGCCTTACTGTTTCCGTTGCATCAGTAATATCTCGTATAATTATACATGATGAGTTTCCTGAATCTCAGTGTTTCCGTCCTAAGATTACCCCGAACAATTGACTTTTCTCCATGCTACACAGAGTCTGTGTTACCTCCGGGTGAAGGGTGTTCCACATCACGTATGCAGTACGACGATGTTATGTACGAAACCTATGACATGCACCAAAAAAGCTTACTCTTGAAGAATATCAACCTACCATTCTCCTCCATATCAGACTTTAGTAAACCATCTCCAAGTCCCTTTACCAAGCGGGCGTCCCTACACCACCGTCGTCAACAAGCAGTCGGCTGTAACCCACTTACACTTCTCCGAATAGGTCGTTGGTCATGACTCAGATTCCCGAGGAATGCTCGCGATAACGAAACTGGAACGTCCCACGTGTTATAAATAGTATGGGGCGGTGGGGTAGCCTAGTGGTTAAAGCGTTGGCTCGTCACGCCGAAGACCCGGGTTCGATTCCCCACATGGGCACAATGTGTTAAGCCCATTTCTGGTGTCCCCCGCCGTGATATTGCTGGAATATTGCTAAAAGCGGCGTAAAACTAAACTCAGTCAGTCAGTATAAATAGTATGTCGTAGTCCATGCACGATTATGAGGCGGTGATGTAGCCCAGTGGTGAAAGCGTTCACACGTCACACCGAAGACCCGGGTTCGATTCCCCACATGGGTACAATGTGTGAAGCCCATTTCTGGTGTCCCCGCCGTGATACTGCTGGAATACTGTTAAAAACGGCGTAAAACCATACTCACTCACCCATGCACGATTATATACAGACCACCGTCATGGAGGTGAAATGTTGCTGTATTGCCACATTTACATCACTCACTTATTCACTTACCTGTTACATACCTGTATGTGATATTCACTTGCCTTCCTTGTTGCCATAGATACGTGCAGTTGTAACTAATTTGCATCTGTATTAGTTGTTTAAAAGTGGTATTTATGTTTGTTATCAGCAACGATTAACTTATCTGATGTATAACAATTTTCCATAATAGTAACACATCTATATAGGAGGTTGCAAATTGACTAGTGCATTCTTACATTTTTCAGTCGTTATGCAATCTTTGACCTTATTTCAGGTGTGCGGGCATGGCGGATTGTCGACAGCGTTTGTTGTTCTGTTTACATACACATACACACCAGACAGCAGATTTATCGAACAAGGAGTAGGTGAGTGAATTGGGTTTTACGCCGCTTTTAGCAATATTCCAGCAGTATCACGGCGGGGACACCAGAAATGGGCTTCACACATTGTACCCATGTGGGGAATCGAACCCGGGTCTTCGGAGTGACGAGCGAACGCTTTAACCACTAGGCTACCCAACCGACCCCCCGAACAAGGATACAATACTTATTATTAATTCATAGATGCGCATGTGCGCGCATGTATGTGTTGTAAGCACTTCCCGTAACATTTGTAGCTCGGGATGCAAGAAAAAAATGGTTTACGTTGCCCGTTTTCCTCAGTCAAGACTTGTATGTTTGATAGGTATACCACTATGTATGACGTGTCTACTGTCTGATCAGCAATCATACCATATCGTTTGTCGCTTGTATAACTTAAAGTCACTTGTTGCGAGATCAACAAGCCAAACAATACATGTCCTAATAGTGTGTATCAGTCAAGATTACATTGCCAAACTGATAAGTTCTAACTGCCCTACTGCACTTTGGGTATTAATACCAAAGCATAAAAGAAAGTACACATGTGTGTTGAGGACGGTAATTGTTATCTCCACGTACAACATTGTAAAGATATCTGCGGTATTTGGGCAACATGTACACAACTTCTGTTTAATGTCTGTCACTGCCAAACACTTTTCAAAATATATGTTTATTTTGGAAAAAAATTATCCCACAGCATCAGGTGTATACTTTCTTTTGTACGTCAGTATATGTTAACGTTATTTTATTTCATGCCAGCTTTTACCTTGCCTATCACCGAAACATGTAGGAGTGAACTTTTCACTTATATCGCTCTAGTCGGTAAAGTGGGCGGAAGGCCTTGATGAGAATGGAAGCTTTTGGGAGCTACTCCATATCAAGTCTTAAAAGGTATTAACGACATAACGCTTTCATCACATAACGCAGATTGTCATGTGTTAATAACACACTTTGTTGTGTTTTATTAATTTAAATGAGAGAGCACGTTATCAGACATATAGCAGTCTGAAAATTTAATGTTGGCTTTTAAACATAACCTGATCCAAGTGAACATATCGACGTTGCAACGTTTATAGTCAAAAACGTTTAAATACATGTTTTACTTGTCAGTGTATATTGGAATATTAATGCTCTCTTGCTGCCTTTAGTTTCGGAGGAAAGATTTTAGTTTAGCGTTCTAAACTGGAATAGCATAATAGGTTGAGGTTCTGTGTCTTTTGATGACGTGATAGCCGCTACACTCATTACATAAAATATAAAATACATGTATTTTATGTAATGAGTGTAGTGGGAGAATTTTCTAAAAAAAATCAATTTCTTCACCGATTTCGTTCAAATTTGAAATATATGTTACTCATAACATATAAAAACAATAGAAGGCTGCAAAAATCTAGATTTTTATCTTAAAAAAGTATTGTCCAAACAGTGATTCGAACCCCTGTGGGATAGGGTTCCTCCCTAAGATGTGTAAACACGGCTCTTTCCGGCTCGACGGAGAAGCAATGACTCGTCACTGAACCAAAACGTCTAAATCGCTGTTGTGGACACATTCTGTGTGCTTAACACCATTGACGTCGCAGCGACGACGCTTCTGTCCAGTCCGAATTTGTTTGTTTGATGTTTAACACCGCACTCTGCAATATTCCAGCTATATGGGGGCGGTCTGTCAATAATCGAATCTGGACCAGACAATCCAATTATCAACATCATGAGCATCGATCTACGTAATTAGGATACGATGACATACTATATACATGTATATATATGTCAGTTATGAATCATGAATATTTTAGGGGATACTGTAATGCTGCTTGTGTCAAGTATACAAATCGATATCTCAGTCGGAGTGGAACCTATCATTTTTGCTCAGCATATTTTATTAGTGATCTCAGTCTTTAAGCGAGTGGCACTGAATCAGACTGTACGTTGTTTGCCATGAAGTGTTCTTCCGCTCCGACTGAGACATAGGTTTCATACTATATACACTCACGCGCAAAAGAAACGTCCCAAGGCATTTTTCAACTACCAAACAACACAAGCACAAACACGAATAGATATGAACGTTTAATATGTATAGGAGAATGTCCAAAAACTCTCCATTAGTTGCGCACGTGAAGCAGGTTTGAGGCCGTAGGCCGAGAACCTGCTCCACGTGCGCAACTAATGGAGAGTTTGAGGACATTCTCCTACTTAAAACAAAGTACCGTCCAATATGAGCTCTGAGCAAAATCTTACAGGTCGCAGTCGTGCACTAATATTGGAGGTGATGATAGTCAACGCAGTTACATGAGCAATAGCCCGCCCCCGTGGTGTAGTGGTTAGAGCGTCCGCCCGGAGAGCGGAATGTCGCAGGTTTGATCCCCGACCGCGTCATACCAAAAAACGTTTAAATATGGTACTTGTTGGTCCCTGCCTGGCGCTCGGCATTAATGGGTACAACAAGGACTGGTCGGCTCGGAGTCAGTATAATGTGTCTGAGTGGGGTATTCATGCTTCACTGCGGCATGGTATCTCAGTGGGCTAGCACTATAAAACCAGCTTAAGTCTGGGCTAGTACAAGCAGCCGCACATACCCACACACACGCATGCACGTCGTCATATGAGCGAAATATTCTCAAGCACGACGTTAAACCCAATTTCACCTCACCTCACATGAGCAATGAATATAGATCTATGGCGACTTATACCTGTCATTATGTGCATATACTAAAATGCCGACATTTGATTATTTTTTTTTAAAACAATATTGTCTTTGATTTCGTCTGTATATCAGTTGTACTGTACTGACATCTTAGCGATGTCGCCCTAGCATCACTATTTCACTACTGTTCCCTGTAGCTGTTACAAGTCGCTGAAAAGGCACTTGCAAAATGCACGTGCACTAATATTGGAGGGCTATCGGTATAAAAGCCTGTATCGAGTCAGAGGATTTGTTGCACGTGTTTCCAAGTTCAGCGCAGGATGTCCGGATATGAAGACGAACTGTTTTTTAACGCAAAATACATTTTCTAGTAAGCCTGAACTTGCAGACTAGGTGGTAGTAAATTCAGAATTTGAAGCTCTTCTGTTTTCTGACGACGCTGGCGAAAGTACGGTCCCAAATTTTGATATCGGACAATGCCATTTGTTTTCAAGTAGCGATTCAGATAATGAACTTCATGACACCCACATCCTCTCAGATGACAATTCCGATAAAGAGTTATTTTTTAGCCAGTCAATTATTGGAGGAAAAGTGGGGAATTGGGGCACTGGAATCAAAACCTACATCTAGTTGTTTGCCAAATGCTGTTTCTAAACTTGAATCTGAAAAGAAAGAAGAATTTCGTTTTGGCACCCCACTTTCAGAAGCTGAGATTGTACAACTCTGTGACTCCAGTCACTCGGTAAACACTCGGAATAAAAGTAAACGGGCAGTAAATATTTTCAGGAACTGGGTGATAGAAAGACAAAAACGAAACCTAGATGTCCCACTCCAACATCAAGATATTGTATCTCTTGCGTCAAACGAAATGGCTCTTAACAAGACTTTGATATTGTTCATAACGGAAGTCAAAAATCAAAAAGGGGAACAGTATCGGGGGAATACATTGTATGAAATAATCACAGCTCTCCAATATCACCTCAGAAAAAAAGGTATTGATAAAAACTTTTTTTGATTCACCATACTTGAAAGATATGAGGGAAGTCTTAGATGCGAAAATGAAAATCCTGGCTCGTCAGGGTATTGGGATTGAGCGTCGGCAGGCAAGCATCATCACGGAGGCACAGGAGGATGAGTTGTGGAGAAAAGGACTATTGGGGGAAGACACCCCTCAGCAGTTGCTGGACACTCTACTGTATCTCAGTTTGCGCTGTGGGGCGAACTCACAACTTACATTGATATTCCCCAAAGGTTCAGGACCCAACCAACTCAGATATACAGAAGATGCGTCCAAAACAAACAGAGGAGGGCTTACACACAGAAAAGTCGACAGGAAAGTAGTCACGATATCAAGCAATGACGAAAACCCGAAACGATGCCTTGTAAGGCTATACCAAAAGTATTTGTCACTAAGGTAATTATGCATTTCTTTCTTCTCATCTTTTATAGGGTATGCAAATTCATACGATCACTTTGTTTGGGCATTCAGTTGCAACTTTTGGACTTGTTAAACGAAACTTAAACATTTTCT